ATAAAACCGCCCGAAACTGCCCGAAACTGCAACTTGAGGGTCGGCTTTTTTCTATTCGGTTGGGCTGGGCCCGTTACGGTTGTAACTGTGGCCCAGTAGGGGGGAGTTTACAATTGGTGGGCTCAGAAACCGTTAACCACTGGACTAGGCCCAGAAAACTGGCAAGCCCAGCCTTTTTTTATTTTCTTCTGAATTTTTATTACTTTCTACTCTTTTGCTTTTACGCTTTTCTAGACAATCTTTGAACCTGTTACTTGTTTTGAATTTTGGAATTTCATATGACATCATCTTACTTTAATTAAACTTATTTAATTCTTTTTAATAAGTTAGGATTTTATTTCATCCATTGGATTATAATAATCAATTTATTTTGGACCATTTCATTTAAATCTATATATATATATATATATATATATATCCAACCAAACATGAGCAGAAAGTCAAAGTCTTTGCACCTCTCTAAAATACAAGAGGTACTAGGCTTAATTTAATAAATCATTTATTATTTATTTACTTTTTATTTTTTGAAAACTATTTATTAACCTTTAAAATTATATCAATTTTATTTACTTATACAGTTTTATTAGTTAGTTAATAGATAACTTTAATAAAACATAAAAATTCTACACTAAAAGAAAAAACTATCAATAGTTAATAAACAATTTATTAAATGGTTTTTTTAATGTATTTTTAGGGTATATGTTAAGAAATTTTTTTTATCATAAATTTATATAAAAAAATATAAAAACTGATATTAATTTTATTATCATCACTATGTGTATGAATTTAACTAAATAATTAATAAATTAAATATTAATTTTTATTCTTTCAAAACTCTTAATATTCATGTTAACAAATCCTTATTTAATTAGTAGCGGCTTGCAAATTGTGAAATCAAAAACCATCTCTATCCCACCAAACGTGAGCACAGAGTCATAAAGTCTATGCACCTTTCTAACTATGTGTTTTAGTTGAGGAAATGGAGAGGTGAGCACAGAGTCATAAAGTCTATGCAC